AAAAAAAATATTTTTATTTATACATTTCCATATGATTAAACATTTCCATATGTTACCTGAGGTCTTCTTTAATAGTTCTAGCGTCGCATCCAAAATCAAAAAACAAATGCCCGAAGTTGAATTTTAAGACAGAATATATACCTTTTTCCAAGGTTTTCGCATGCACTGCGCGTGCGTTTTCAATTCATATTCTTAATCGCCTGTCTCATTTTTGTGTTGATCAGGTTTCGAAATGTCAATTCACAAATGTCCTGGTTGAATTTTATTCGATGTCTCAAGATCATTATTATTTGTTAAGGTTGATTAACTAAAATACTTATATTAAATATAATGTAACAAAAACAATTACATGTTCCTAGTTATCATCGTTGGCTTCAATAGCATTTTCTTGAATAAGTAGCATTTGAGATAAGTATTATTTATCACTTTTTTAAGTTTTTAATTCATGATTTTTAGTGATATTGATATTTTAATATAATACGTAACACAAAAAATATATATGTGTACAAAAATATTCAACATAGTGAAAGTCTTAGAAAAAGAGGTTTTGTTTATTTGCTATTTATAATTTCCGCAGGCGAAGTCGCGGGGTAACAGTTAGTTTGATAGAGATTGATTGTCATGTCAACACCTATTATACATATATATATATATATACTAGCTTTTGCCCGCGACTTCGTCCGCGTGGTAAAGTTACTTTGAGCAGCTTTCTAACGAATATTTATTAATTATGTCATGTAAAATACCTGAAATAAAGTTTCATCCCAAATTATATCCACTTAGGGTGAGATTTATCAAAATCTTTTCTTAGGGGATGCCTACAACATAGTAGCTTTTTGCATGCAAAGTCTCAGCCCGATCGGTTTAAAATTGATAAAGTTCATTCAAACTTTCATCCCCTATTTTATCCCCTTGGGGGTAGAAATGATCAAAATCCCTTCTTAGGGGATGCCTACGTCATAATAGCTTATGCATGCAAAGTCTCAGCCCGATTGGTTTAATATTGACAAAGTTTCATTCCCTATTTTATCCCCTTGGGGGTAGAATTGATCAAAATCTTTTCTATCCCTACGTCATAACATCTACCTGCATGCCAAATTTCAGCCCGATCCGTCCAGTGGTTTGGGCTGTGCGTTGATAGATCACTATGTCAGTCAGTCACCTTTGAGTTATATATATTTAGACTTCACTATTTGATACCTATCTATGACTTTCATAAAAAATACATGAAAGAGTAAAGTATACAATATACTTGTTGAACCTCTGTTGAACACAGAAAATCCACCTTACGGATTTTGAATTAATGCAAAATACGCAATTTGTTTTTTTGGCTGAAATAAACATATAATCTTAATATTTAGGTGATATTTTGTTTTGTTACACAAGGAAAACTACCGATTCGATTTCGATAAAATTTAAATATGACCACCTCGGTCCATGAAGCTGTCGAATGAAAATGATTTTGAAAATTGGTCTATAATTGGCGGAAATATCGGTGAACATAAAAAAAAACATACATCGCCGTCGAACATATAACTTCCTCACTTTGAATTTTGAAGTCGGTTAAAATTGATCTTTAATGACCTTGCAACACTTAAATTATCGTTTTATAAAATGCAAAATTGAACTTGTATATATTTTTACCCAGGTTACTCTATTTACTCACTTTGGCGGCCATAACAAATTGCTGTATTTTTACTTATAAATCTCTATTAACATAATACGTATAGGTTTAACTTTACATACAAAAGGAACCCCGCGGATCCTGATATGAAGATTAATTACATCATCGCCTACAAACTTTCGGTCAACCTGGATTCTACTTAAATAAAATAAGTGGGTTACTTAATGCAACTTATATGCATTAAGAGTATTTCTGGGAAAAACCAGCTGCAGTATCCGCTACTCATACGTACATATAACAGACCGGTCTTGCTCAAGTTGCATAACGAAATTAAAATACCAAATAGATGGTTACATCAGTCATAATACGAGTATTGTAAATGAGAGTAAAAAGTGCAACTCATAATATTTTCATATTGCATATGAATTATTTGGTTTACGAGATACGATATGGCCGCTTTGATTAAAGCTAACCATTAACTCGAAATGAAAGTTTAATTAAGGTTGAGGTCACGTCATCATACTAAAATATTTGTTTTATTTAATGATATTTATATATATCTCTATATGTAGTAATAAAAATTGATGAATTCCTATAGTAAAAAACAAAGACAAACATTGTATGGTGGGTGGCATCGCGTCTCAAGATAACATACCTATGCACAGTACACTACCAGTGCACTAGCGGTACCGCCAGCCATGCTCTACGACAAGTACGACAACGACGTAGTTGTGTTTCATCTCTATATCCTTCTAATAAGATTAGATAAATGCAACATGGTATTTTTTTCTTTGAGTACAAAATGCTAACTCGTTTTGTCTCGTTGCACTATCAAGATATACCGTTATAAGAACTACCATGTATCCTGAGGCATTTCACCCCCTGCCTTGCATTGTGTAACTGTCTTGTATGCACGGCGGCACGCCTGGCTACCACAATATGTCAAATTTCCTCAATCCATTTTTAATTCTACACACTATGTATGAAGGTTTGAATCAAGACCTCTCTAAAGACGAGAAGGTAAAGTTCTCTTTTCAGTGCTTTCATCGGCTGCAGTGTTTTATTATTGTAAAATCTATATTTTTCTGTTCTGTGTAAAATGACACTATTTGCTTTTAAACGATTGCAATATTGTGTTATGTTGTCAAGGAAATAAAGTATAATCTTAGAAATATCTAATACTAGCTTCTGCCAGCGGCTTCGCCCGCGTGGGCCACGATAAGGAAATGCTTAGTGGGATAAAATGTATCCTATTATCTAAGTCAGCTAATACCCTATCTGTATACCTAATTTCATCAAAATCCGTTTAGTAGTTTCGGCGTGATTGACGGACAAACATCCAAACAAAGAAACTTTCACATTTATTATATTCATAGGATTCTTCATAAATAAAAAAAATAAATTGAGTTCAAGAATAAACCTAGATTTGAGTAACAAGACGAGCTTTGTTTCTTTCTTCATTTTTTACTGGTCAAGGTAAGAACCAGCTATGCCTAATCTTCGTTTGCTGCAAACTTGCAAGTGAAATAATCATCTCATGATGTTATCCTCGTGAAATCACACAAAATTGCACAAACCGTACAGGAAAGCACGTTAAGTACATTGGATAATGGATTGGACCGCGGATACAAATAGTATTCATACATGTAGCAAATGATGCAATTCAGCTATTCGTATATTTAAACAAAATTATAAACATGAAAAATTTAACAATATGATCAAATAAATGGGTATTTAAATAAGTGCTTCAACTCTTAGGTAGTGCTATTTATGAAGCGAGAAGAACTATTTGATTTTTAAAGATTTAAAAAACAATATCAATTGTGTATTTTACTCGGCTTTATTCAAAATTCTATTATATAATTATGAATACTAGTGACAACCAAGACTAGTAAAAACTACAAAAAAATCATCGACTTTTGACTTTGCACTCTTAATATTCGAGGTCGCATAGTGAAATCTTAATAGCTCAATTTAATCTGCAGGCGGTAAAGGTGACCTTAAGGACGATTTCGTAATTAAATACTAATTAAATAATTATCCGATTGTTTTGTTTGATCAATTAACTAAATTTTTTCAAGCAACTTAATTTATGAGTTCAAACGCCTGTCACAGAAATCTTAATTTACTCACAAATAAACTGGCTACTACTAGACAAAATTTGTTTGGAATGTGCAGTTTTGTAAAAATAGCACGGCTAGAAATATAAAATACTAAAACATATATCATTAGCATTACATAAAAGTTATTTGTTACTTAATTATTATAATCTCCGACATCACAGTCACAGTGACAAAGAGCAAGTCATTCCGTTGCAATTACAACATTGCCTTCGATAAAGGTGTTTAACCCACTTAGCTCTTAATTTTCGTTGACCTTCGCACTAACTTTAGGCATTGGCCTATCACAATAGCGTCTTTAGAGTATTTTAGGGATTAACAATATTAACTGAATTTACCAATTTAATTACTCAATAATTATGAAGGTAAATATTATTATTAGACTGTGTTAAGATTGTAATGGTTTCAAATCAGTCATTGTGAGTAATTATTTTTTATAAACGTAATTGTAACTGAATAACTTGCTCTTAGTCGCTGTAACTATGCTGTCGGAGATAATGCTAATGATATATGTTTTATTGTTCTCTTTTTAAGCCATACTATTTTAACAAAACTAGATATTCCAAACAAAATGTGTGTAGTTAGCAACCAATTCATTTGCGAGTAAAATAAATTTTCTGTGATAGGCGTTTGCACTCATAAATTTATTTACTTGATCGAATAAAACAATCGGATAATTATTTAATGAAGTTTAGAAGTGGATTCAAATTATTTTAAGAACAGTGAGTAGGTACATATTATTTTATAACAAAGTTTAGCAATTACAACAAACAGATAATATTTCACAATCGAGATATGCTTCGGCACATTGACATAAATCATGTTCAAGTGTAGCATTTTCTACTTCCGTGGATATTATATTAAATAATCTCAAAATATTTCCATTGAATATGCACCGAACGTATTATATCGGTTTAAAAAATCAACATACGAGAAACTACCTTAAACGCGGTTGACATAGGCTGCAAAGTTACGGGAAAACACACACATTAAGATTATTATAAAGATTTGAGACAAGTCTGTCTTTATATTTGTCTTTTACATTCGTCGATCACATATGTGCATTTTATTTAAAATTTATCGAAATTACGGCCGTCGCAAAATTTGTATTTCGAAAACATGTTCTATTACGAAAAATCGTTCTTCTAAGTGTACATACTTGTATATTTCGAAATTAAGTCTCGTAACCTACGATATGGTTTAGGTTAACGTAAACTATATATTTGAAAATAATATTTATTTTTTCCTTTGAATTTCTATTCCATAAACCAATACAGACGACTTCCAAACCGAGGAGAATCTCTAGGCTTACAGTCGGGCAACGAAGGTGTTGGATCCGACACAGGCGAGTGGCAGGGGCACGGCGGCGCCGCAGGCTCCGGACAAGAGCTGCGGTGCACGCGAGCACGGCAGAAATAACCAAAATCAGGTCGATCCAATTGACATTTAGTGCTCATGCAATCATCAAATGCCCTTTGAGTTTTTCGGCAGTGTGTGTAAGCGAAATCACCGGAGCTTTTATCGATACAATTAGCGTACTGATTGAACTCTTCCAGGCAGTCCGCTTTGATTCTACGGAATACTTGCATAGCGCAGGCAGTGACCAATTTTCCTATTCCTATACAAGCTCGTGGGTCATTCAATTCTTGACGACATAGCATGAACTCATTATTGATATTCTCACATGACTTCCCCAGATAAGGAGCGGCAGACATCAGCGTCGTTGTTGACAAATTTATTTCTTGCGTATCTAGCTCTGCGATCGTTGGAAGACGTACTTCTTTAGTCACAACCATCTTTATTTACCTAGTACAATTAATCTGAATCCAAATGTGAACCTAGTATTTGATAATTTGTACCTTTTATATTGGGCTTTGATAATTTGTAACAAACAATTAGTCAATGTACCTACTTTGATTTTATTATCTATGTTTTTATACCTATTACTAGTTTATGGTATCAAAAAGAATTTATTCCTATTTTTTATGACGTACCTACCCTTATTTTGTAGTTTTGTAACATTATTTAAGAAATACACTTTGATTATAAAGGAAATATGTTTATATTCTCGAATATTAATGGGTCATATTATCACAAATAAGTAAAAAAACTCGGCTGAACAAACTGAGCTCGGAGAGTCGGCGCATCGCATATTGTAGTTAAAACAGATACAAGTTCGATTACTTATGCAAGTACCTAAGTATATTTATCGTTTTTATTGAACAGGACAATGAACTTGTACTTAAAACTCATGAAATCTTTATTCCTTATGTATGAAGTAATAATTAATATGGTATATATTTTGTTCAATAATATTATCGTAGATAGGAAACATTCATAATTAACAAATAATATTCAAAGTTATCGAAGTATTTTGGTTAAGAAAAAGATTTTTTTCTTTATTTAATTTCAATCAATGATATGAAATATTTTCTAAGTCTCATCGCAGTGCCATCGCGCATTTTATGAAAATCTTTCTCAGCAATTTGGGTTTAACTAAAAAATTAAGCACAATTTACAAATAACCATATTATGTAAAAATCACAGTCTATAGAAATATACATGGCCCTTAATTATATATATTTTCGATCTCATGAAATATGAAATTGTTTGAATTTTGTATTCTGACATCTTTTTTTTCTGGAATGACCTCGAATTAAACTCAATGTTAACTCCAAACTTCATCAATAAACTGCATTAGTCATGAAATACCAAAAAATTATGACAATGGCGGCGTTAGTAACGACTCTTGACTTGTATAAAAAAACGTGATGAAGCTTCATTTTAACCTTGACCGTAAATTATTATTCATTTTTAGTGAAAACCGGAAGGGTTGAATAAGTCTGATTACATCCTATACTGGAACATGATAATTCTTTCAAAGTCTCGCATTTTAAATGACAATGCATTTTGTATTTGTTCTACATAATTATTATACTTAAATAAGAACAGTTAAGGTGTGGTGTTATTGTCACACCATCGAATATACGCCCGTTGACCGTTAAATTCTCTTTGATTATCTCAAAAGAGAATAACCGACGCGGCGACAGAGAGGAGCGATGCAGTAGAAACAGCCATGATTCTTTCTTTGGAACCATTTCTTCATTAAACGTTACCGATATATTATCAGATTTAAGAAAAAAATGTTCTTTCAACTTATAATCTATATCTAAATATACACCCACAGGCATAATTAACCGCCCATCTTTTATTTCTTTGAATTCGCAGAAATCGCCAAACTTAGACCATATTTTATGAAAGGAATGTTAAAAACTATACTTAAAGAAAAAGAAACAAAAAAATTATTAGAAAAGGTCTTTTATTAAAGGATGTTTCCCAAAAATCGATTTTTGGAATATCTTCAATGAAAATTTAAAAATTTTGGTTTGAAAATAATGAGATAATAAAAAAAAATTAAGATTAGGTGTTGCCACCTCTGGCCCTTGTGACTTCTTGGAGCCTTGTTTGTCAATCTATCATGTCTCGAATATCCGATTAGGGAATATTGTGCCACTCCTCTACTGCAGCCGTTTTTAGCTCTCCTATAGTGGTAGTGACTGGTACTCTTGCTCGGACACATCTTTTAAAGTTGTCCCAAATTTGCTCTATTGGGTAAACATCGAGACTGCGTGCGGGCCATGGTAAAACTTGAATCCCGACCTCATTAAGGTACTCACTGACGACTCTTGCGGTACGACAACGTGCGTTGTCATGCAAACCTCTCATTTTGACGCCTGTAGACACTCTGACGTCCATCTGGACCTCTTAAGGCTATTCTTCTCTCATCTGAGAATAGTACGTTCTTCCATTCCTCTGCAGTCCAGTCAACATATTCACGCGCAAAAACCAAGTCTAGCTCTACGGTGTTGTGGGAGCAGTTACAGAGCACGAGCTGGTCGAAAAGCCTTCAGATTACTTTCTGCTACTCTTCTTCTTATGGTACGTTCACTGACACTGGCACCTCAAAAAGACGAGTACGAGTTTCAGTTACGGTCGAAAAGCGATTTCTCAACACATTGGTGACAACAAAACGGTCATTTCAAGTCGAAGTACATCGATATCGGCCTTGACCTGGGGTGCGACCGCCTAACTCATGGACGTAGCCGTAGTCGTAGCTATAACCTACGCTTTATAGGTTTTACACATGAATCTGTTGATATTGTTTTAAAATTAAACATTTTTATTATTTACATATTTAATCAATGCTTTTAGTTGTAGGACATAGATGTAAAAGTCTTGTACATGAATTGGAGTTTACTAATAAATCAACGTTAAGATCACCACCAATCATTAATCGTTTGCCTTTGCTATATACCTTTTTTAATAGTACGGAACCCTTAATGCTTCATCCATTACTGTTTCAAAAAGATCATAATGAAAAAATAAACTTGAAGGAGGTCTATATACGCTATAGACCTCAAAAAAAAAGTTCTTAAAAATTAAACTTTTATCAAATAAAATTAGTGCACCACCAGACATTGTGTTTTCCGATTGAATGAGCTACCAACCAGGTAATTGCAGTTAAAAATGTAATTTTAACTTGTTAACCAATGTGCCGTAATACAGAAAATATCAATATTATTACAGTTCATGAATAATTCTACTTCTAACTTCTTGAACATTTTGGTGCACCACGTTGATAACTTATAAACTCTTGATTCCATTATTAATTTATCTATTCAATAGCAAGCAAGAGGAATCCTTTATTGTCTTATTATCTAATTTAAAAACGAATTTGTCAAAATGTCAGTAGAATTATTACTGACAGTCAAGTCAATAGAAAAGTGCTCAATAGGAGCAATCTGGTTAGCCAAATTTTTGGCTGATATACAAAAAATATTGAATATGTCTAAAAAAATATTTCTCTTATAATGTAGGTTATCCAAATATCTTGACTGGATAGTTAAATATATGTATGTACTTATTACCTGGTAAAAGTAATAGAATTTTGATGTCTACGGCGCATTCACCCTATGTACATATTTCGTAGAGTGCCCCATGCTACAGTGCTATCCTTACCTTTTATAATTACCCTTGAACGTGACGTCAAGCGCAGCGCTATCATGAGATAGAGATTTAATCAAATGAAAGCTACTTCAAAGGTATATAGTGTTTATTCTATTGCACTTTTATGCTTGGACAACGCTGTGCTCGATATCGATGTCGAATAAAGCTGGGCACACATGAATAGGCCGATGTTTTTTTATAATAAGTTTCATTTTGGTCACAAGTTTTTTATGTATCGTAGTGGATGGTCAATCGCTGGCATGTCCCGCGGTGCGCACGAGCAGCGGCTGGTTGGATCTGTTCCCACTCCCGTGCAAGAAGCACGCCGAGTGCCGCAACCTAATGGGAAAACAGCACCTCTGCTGCAAGGGATTCTGTACCAAGGGCATTGCCTTGCAACAACGGTGAGTACCAATTCTAAGTCACATAACTAATGCTTATCTATAAATGCGTAATACCTAATGCTTCAACTAATTATAAGTTCGCATTCACAATACTATACTGAAAAATATTCTTAATGAAATCTCAGGGTACCAGAGACCGAGTGGATTTTTTAAGCACTTTTCATTAAGAATATAAATATTTTGTTTTGAAAATTTATACACAGTGAGTATTATAATATTGCAGCTTTACCGCGTCTAGAACTGAATAGATCAATCCTGATTTATCTGACAGCGTGACAGATCAATCAAAGTTCTATTATAACATATTAATTAAAGGCCTAATACGCTTTGAGAGATGAAGAGTTCAGCACCCCCCCCCCCCCCCCGTCACATTACAGTGCATAAATTATTCCCCCTACGACTCTACTTACTCTGAGAAAATAGACAATACGATACTGTATTACCTATTCATATAATTATTCTAATTAATTCATATTATTTGTTTTTTTCTTCAAGTGAATGGCCTCAGTAAAGCTCGACTTATATGTACTAAATTATACGCTTAGCCTCCCGTGTAATGTACGTGATTGACATACGTATCATGTTGCAACGACACAAGATATTATCCAAGTTGTTACTCTCACAACATTAAAAGTTTATTGACAAACGAATCATAATTTAGAACATAATATTGAATGAAAATAAGTATTCTGAAACATTCAATAAAATATAGAGCTCTTTTTTCTTTTATATGGACTTGTTCCGTTATACACGGGAATTTTGCCAACATCCCGTAGTGAGAGAGACACGTGACTCAAGAGACTGAACGGTAGTTATAATTAATCAATTCTTCCATGAGATTGCTCTTTCTCTACAAAAAAAAAAACACACACACAAGAGAAAATATCACTATAACTACAATAATTTAAATACAATAAAGAAAATTTTGCAACACTTGTTTTTATAATTTGATATTATGTTTTTAATAAATTTGCAAAGACGTAAAAAGCCAAGTTTGTCAGAAATAGTAAGAAGAGAGATACAGCTCTTAGATTGTTGCATGTTAATCGTATCGAAACATCAAAAAATAAGTGGTTCCGATTTAGGAAGTGATAGAGACATGATTATGTCAGATTATGTATACAGACATTCATAGTTATATCTAAAGTTAAAACGGATACAAGTTCGGTTACTTATGCAAGTGTTATGTCGGTTCCTTTACTTGTTAAAAGTGAACGGTAATTGGGCGGGTTAAGGACACCCAGACATTAAATACAGGTATTCATTAAATTGGAACTTTATAACCTATTTACAATATAAAAAAAGAAATCGCTATTGTTTCCTAATTATGTTGTTTTACCTACTGATTTGTATATGACACTCACTTATGTGTATTGAATATATGAAAATCCATCAATATTGAAAATCTATTTTGATCTTACGTGTAATAAATAAAATTAAAAGTATAAAATAAAATTTGTTAATGTAGGTAAACGTGAAAGCCATTCTGTTAATTTGTATAAGCGTAGGTAGTACCTAAATAAAAGCCTTCTCCATTTTGCTAAAGCTGCATTTTTGTTATTTAAATATTCTGTCGGTAAAACTGTACCGTCATCAGTACTACTCTATGTACCTATCGTACATAAGGACCCACCCAATGCTTCTTTACTATCTATGCCATGCCAGAGCCAGAATTCTCTTTTACGTTTTCATCCAAGAAGCCTTTAAAACATGTACACCTATCTTTAGATTGCACTACTGACCAATACTACACGCTTAACTTTGTATATATTGAGTTGGCATATTTCTTTACCGAACGTTATAATCAAAAAATAACATTAATTTAATGAAATACGCAACAAAATGTATGCATCACTCGCCTTTAAAAAACCCACTAACCGCATAGAAAAAGAAAATAACAATACTACCATCTAAATCGTGGATTCTACAATAAAATGTGTATCCAGATATGTCTGGATATCACCGTAAACTCTGTAAAAAGTTGCTCTAGTTAGTTAACTTCACAGAAAAACTTCGCTACAAAATTTAATGATGAGGTTTTAATGTATTTTGGGATCCTGATATATCACCAAACTCAAACGTAATATAAGCATAGAGCCTTAGATATTATTCTACGTTCAAATATAAGTATTCGTTTCATATAAAAACCGCACCTAATTTGCACGGTTTTGGTTGTAGAACCAACGAACAGAATGGTAGTATAGACGCGAGTAGCACAAGCACCAGCACCAGCACATCTACGAGCACTACCACCAGCACCACTTCTACCACAACAACTACAACTCCGAGTACCACCAGCTCGACGACGACCACCACGACGACGACAACGACGACAACCACACCGCGCCCTACCACGGAAGCGCCGCGTCCCTTCCTGCAGTTTCTTCCGATTCTGACTACACAGGCTGCTCCCATCAACAAATCTGCTAAGACAAGTATGCTAATACTTTAATTACTTAATGCTTAGATAATTAACTTACATACAGGAAGCAGGTTAATTTATATAAGAAATTCATTTAAGGAAATTGGTACTAAAATCTGTTACTAATAATGTCACTGCGTAACATTTGTCAATATTACTTAGGAATTAATATTTAAAAATATCAACCTACATTTATCTTAATTTACTTACATAATGATTCTTTTATTTTCGTAACATCTTTATTGCTACATTATGTGGAATTCAATAAAATTGAAAAAGTTTATATACAAGAGATGATTTTTAAACCAATAAAAGTTCATTTCTTGTATTTTTTTTTCTCGCTCTGCTTAAATTTGTCCAGTATACCTACTACCGGTTATTCAGGTTCATTCCTATATATTGCCGATTACGAAACCTAATTCACGAACAATTATTTGTTATCATGCTGCTATTGTTATTATTTATTAAGTATTTTGCCGTTGTTACCTACATTTTGTGCTACATCTTGTGAATGATGTAGTCAGTACCATTCACTTGTTTCGTTAATATATTATGTTGCAAAAATAAGTACAGTTCTACTTATATCTATCATACTTACTTGCTGTTAGGTAATAAGGCACACTGCTAATGTTGTAACAACTAAATTAAGTAAGTGTTGGTGCTAAAAGTAAGTAAGGTCAATAATTGTAAGATTGATATTGAACTAGGCACGTTGTTGTAGGCTCTGACATAATAGCTGACGTAACTTATTCACATACACGCGACTCTGCGACCGTTTACGAGTATAATACGGATTACTCGAGTACAGGCGCAGGCAAGGCGCAGAAACTGGTCTGCCCAAAAGGACAAACACCGCTGTTGCTGTTCCCCATCCCGTGCGAGAACAACGCCCAGTGTCAGACGAGCAGTGGCGCCGACCAAGTGTGCTGCAACAAAGTCTGTGTGAAGGGTGTACCTCCGCCCCGTCCCAAGCCGTCAACGAAGAATCATCAACGTAGGAGTCTTTTTTATACTTTCCTATTATGTAACACTGCATTCGCAGAGCATTATTTTCACGCGCACTATTCATAACTGAAACAACCTTAAACGATTTTATCACGTTTGTATTTTCTTTTATGACGTTTCGGACACTACAGGTTCCGTGTTAACATAAGACTAAGGTGTTGAGTGTCTTTTTTCAACACTAAATCAATTATTCAAACCAAATATTCAAGGTAATCATTTTAATAAACAATGGAAAATCTACGCCCGACTTCAATAACAGTTTCTTGAATAATTACACCGCTTTTAAGATGAGTAGGTATTATTTCTTACTTTTTTGTTATTTTTTTTTTTTAGTAAAACAGATAAAAATATTAAATACTCAAGTTTTTCAATAAATTAAACCAACCAATTTATACAAAAAAAAAAATTTAATGACAATACTTCATAATAAGTCCTAAGGGTTTCTCATTATAAGACCAGGGGGCCAATTCAAATAAATAAATTTTGTTTAAATCGAATCGAAACAGATCGAAACCGAACGAAACTACAGTTTTTAATGGTTTTCCTATTCTACAAAGTGACATACGATACAATTTCAGTTATATTTTAGCTGGAATTGTATTGTATGTCACTTAGTAGAATAGAAAAACCATAAAAAACTGTAATTTCTATCAGTGGGCAGTTCATTAGTGAAGTTTTGATACGAAAGTTGTGTAGGTAGAAAAAAAGCAAATTAATAAATTATTCCTATCGAACCAACTCAAAAGTTGTTTCGATGAGAAAGAAAACTAGTTGATCCGTTTCGTTAGTCAGTTCAGTTGGTCGGAATGGAATATTTTTTTCTTAAAACAATATGTGATCAACCAGTTAGTCATATTGGAATAAATCCCTTCATCGAGTTCCATTCTGCACAACCAGTCGGTCAGTTTAGTCGGTCCAAGTGGAAGGACAAATATAAACGCACCTTACTATTTTTCAATGTTTAAACTCCTACTGGAGCAATAATAATTCCGCTGTTTAGTGTAGTCGGCTAGCATTTTCGAAATCATGGGTTCGATCCTTAGTCTTTCAATATAGAAAACTATAGTTGTATCAGATTTCCATAGGATTTATGTACAACTAGAAAATTCGTATAAAAAATATTTCAAGCATCTTACAACATTGTGATATAATGATTTATTACCTGACATTTTCTAGAAATTCAAAAAGCCGAATAAAATATTTTCGAGAGTAAATAAAAATCGCAAGATGTGAAGTTCGGTTATATTTTTTATAGATATTTTTGAATCGTAATAAAATTATCATTCTTTAATTTTCTGCCTTTCAAAGATTTATTCCACTTTAGACCATCGAAATTGCTTTTCTCATATTTTTTTAGTATGAAGACAGTAATCCGTCTTTCTTTTACGATTTCCTATCATAATACGTAACAGAAGTTACGTTTATAATAAATTACTAACTAAACGATAATCTAGAGCCAAATAAACAGTTAATATATGAAAATTGTAGTTACTTACTAAAATGCACATATAAGGAAAAATTCAAAAACTAACATTTTTTTTCTTCGATTACCAACACATATTCATTTTTTGTTAAATAACTTCAATACACTATATAAACTGAGGCAATGCCAACTATTTCAAGATAACCATCTAAAAGCTTGTCACGTTAGTAGGTATACACTAACATTATCAAAATTAATTTCAGGGATGGAGATATGTGCATCGTTACACTGTTACCCACCTCACCCTACAAATATAATGATCTATCAGACTTTAATAAGCTATATTATCTTAAAGTAATGAATACTAGCCTAAAAATATATTTCATACGAGTAAGATTAATTCGAAATATTTTAAAATTTCTCCTCTAGCTCTCCTAGGGGTTATTCCGAGGGAATGTCCTGCTGCTCCATTGGGAGAGCTGCTATTTGAGGTGCAATCTTGTAAGACTGATGCTGACTGCTGGCCGAGAGTCTGCTGCCCAGATGGCACACGGTCCTACTGCCGCACAGCGCGTGCTCGTCTCGACCTCGTGCCTGGCGCCAGCCAAATCAACGGACGTCAGTAAAAATGTTTATTTACATTTGTTACTTCACAAATAACAAAACTTTTGGTTGTCCAACACATGACGCAAGCTGCGACCATCTTTGTTCTCGTGGCCCATTTTTTGTTTCCTGTCATAAAAAAAAAGCAAATCTTTAAGCTGTAACTTCCATACCATTATGCCATATGCACCGGAACTCGATACCTTTCGTAATACACCATTGACAGCAAGTCATCGGCAAATTATTTGCCGTTCTAAGTCTTGACATGATCTTCCTCTCCTAAAGATACGATTTAAATATGTTACTTATATTGTTACTTATTCCACTGGAGCTTCTGAAGAAACTCGTAAGTGTTTTTTAAATAAAATCTAGCTTTGTTCTGCGTGTCTGATAAGCACAGTAATTTTTAAGTAATTATAAACACTAGAGATGGTAACTTCGTAGTCTGTATTCCGAAATGTTATGGGTTCGAATCCCATCTCGGGCAGGTGAGAAAACTACTTAATAGGCACTTACTTGCAGAAGGTATACTTATTATATTTATAACACACGAGAAAAAAAATAATCATAATAAATATCTGTCATTGTTCCATAGCCGTAAGAATGTTAGAGCAGTATCTTCAATGTACTCCACCGCCCAAGAACGACCTTTTCCCGAGGCGCTGCAGCTCGACCGTGGACTGCTTCCCCAACCTGTGCTGCGCAGAAGGCGGCAAGAAACATTGTCGCCCGCCCCAGCGCAGCCTGCTCGCACTTCTTGCTGGTGTAACTCAGGTATCCTCACAGTTTTCAGATTATGAAATGAATTCGCGACTCATTACGTCACCAATTTAGCACTTGACGAAATAAGGAATAAATTACTATTGTAAATTGTAAATAACAATTTATTCCTTATTTCGTCAAGAAAAGCGGGCACCTCGCGCTCACTGACGACACCATACGAAACATGAAAGTTTAAATATTTTACCTTTCCAAAAACAGTCAAGTAATCAATTAACGCAGGCGAAGTCGCGGGAGAACAGCTAGTATTTGACAGTAGGGATGATGCTTGGGTAAAAAAAAACCTAATAACAGTCAGATAATAGAAAATTATTAGATAATATTTTTTTTTGCTTCAATTTAACAAGAAATGACTTACGGTCAGTTGTACAAACGTCCATTAAGGATTAATGACGCCTTTAAGTTCTAATGAATGTCAAATTTGTGTGGGTAATGTCTCTTTAAACTAATGAAAGCTTTAATGGTCAGTTGTACAAACGTCCATTAAGGATTAATGACGCCTTTAAGTTCTAATGAATGTCAAATTTGTGTGGGTAATGTCTCTTTAAACTAATGAAAGCTTTAATGAACGTTTGTACTACTAGCTATTAGATAGACATAAAAGTTAAGCAGTGGGTGCTCGCTACGTCACAACTATGTATAAAAAGTACAAAAGGTGTGACATTATGCTACATTTTAGCTCAATGTATTGACGCAATTTATTGATTAGGCAAAAAATATAAAATACGTGTTTAATATTCTTCAATAATGTTCGTAACGAACAGACAAACAAAGTTAGTCATCATCCCTATTGATATCGACAGCCTTAAGTAAATTGGGTTGACAAAACAAGCCAATGAGCGAGCATATGCCAGCTTGTTTTTAAACTTTCTTCAAGTGAGTTGAGCTCGCTCTCGCCTTCCGCGAACGTGTTACGACTTGAACATCATCATTAAAATCAGCATCGATCGTTGGTGATGCGGATGCTGACGTTGATATTAAAAACAATGCTGATAATCGGAGGATGCTGATGCTGATACTTGCAACAACCCCGATTCAAACCCATGACCTTTCGCAATCCGGACGTCTGCTCAAATGTTACGGAGGTACTAACCACGGAGCTACTCAGGACCTAACAGAACTGACGAATTTTTCAAGCGCTTTTCCGTAACCACAGAGTGTATTTTCATCAATATTCAGGCAATTCACTCCCCCATCCTCTAGATATGACGGCCTTAGCTCTCATATTGGATTCTGAGAAACTTAAATATCTGAGTTCATCTGATACACATAATTTATTGTTTATACTAATGTAAGCAACTGTCTTGTTACAGAGAGTCGGATCTACCCTGGGAAGTTTACGCTTAGGGGCTGCACAAAACAATAACAGGCTGTAATTGTAAAATAGTATGAATAAGTAGATTTATTTTAATATCAGAATTAGTGAAAGTGAATGTCGGACAATTCAGGGTTTAAACTACTTAACACCCTATTACGCAATATGAGGTTATTGAAATTGTTGATGTGAGGTATGATGCTTTTGGACAAAACGTAAATCAACTGAAGAAAATAAACCATTCGCTATTAGAATCGAACGCTAGGGGTACTGTGCCACTCGTCTGTATAATTGAACCATAAATCGTACAGTATAAGGTTACAGATTGCGGCATACAAGTTATAACATAAAGTTTGCATTACCCAATGTGAAGCATGTCAGTACATTTATAAATGTAAATAGTGAAAAAGTTGAGTTAGTAGAGTCGACAAAGTTCTTTGGTATTACACTAGATTCCCGACTACCGAACTACGCCCAGCAGTAGCATTAGGGTTACCAACTTTTATTAGAAGAAATACAGGTATATCTGATTTCAAAGAAGGTAAATAACGAATATGTACTTAAAAAAGAGTAGGTATAATATTTCAATTTTTATAATCTAATAAAAAGCGAAACCTCCTTAATTGATATACAATTGATTTATTACTAAAACTATATTTTTTATATTATTTTCAAAGTTCTTAAAATATAATTTCATTGGCTAGTTCCTAATTAATTTAACTGAACTTCACTAGAATATTTAGATTATATTGATATTATCTACCACAGAACACGGAATGTATCTACATTGGCATCTGCTATGTATAGGGTTGCTTAGGTTAATATAAATCTAAGGTTGATTTTGTATGTTTTTATACTTTTGTACAGTAAAATATACGCAGTTGAAGAAATATTGTTATTGTTTGATTCATGCAAAATTAATTCCTTTTACCTACTTAGTTAAATCTTAATAGCCATCCAAGCACATTTCTTAGTTTAGATGTGATAGTTCTGATTATACCGTCGATCAGCAGGTTAACATATTGTTTACTGTAAAGTGTTAAATATTTTTATTCTATACATTTGTTATAAAGACGTAGATGGATACATGTGTAACAAATGTACCTACATTGCAAAACATATAAGACCACATTTAAATATAAAATGTTGAACTATCTATTCATAAGATTTCTATAGGATAGGATTAAGACTATGCCTTAGCATCCTAATGGTTTGTGGGAATCATATATACATGAATAAATTACATATAGATGTGAGATAATGATTTTCATGAATCTGCCTGTTTGAGTGAAGTCACGAACTTTGTTTTGAAAGCTAACCAATTGGATGGCATTCTAATGTGAGAGTGATGAGGTCAAACATGTAATTGATTAGTAGAAATTGAAGATTTTTAGTGTGACTCATATACAAGTATAAATAGTGGGGGTTAGATAACTTAGAGCATTAGGGGATTCTAACTAAGAAAACAAAGTGGTCAAAGCCCACACATCTCTATGCTTTCAAATAGTCATCCATTTTAAGAGTTGGTCATATTTAGTGATTAAAAACACATTTGAAACTCATTTATCAAGTATCTTTACTTTTATAGCTCCTAAGTAAAAGCTAGATATGTCCTTGTATAAAATTTTGTAAAGAAAGAAAAGAAATTTAAATACCTTTCTTTAAAATGAAAACATTATTGTCAATAAAGCATAAACTAATACTAACCAAAAAATTGCCATCATTCTTGTTTCTTTTAACCTAAGCCTGAATCAAAATAACCTAGATGTCAATAAAAACAAAGAGTTGTATTTATTGACATCTAGGTTATAATTGTAAGATATTTAAGGATGTAATAAAACAAATTGTTAATTTTTTTGGATT